TTTGCATGGTTCATTTTTCTTTTTCCCATTATCATATTAGCCTTAGGTTCAAATGACATATTATGAACTTCTTTTCGATGTTCTTCTTTTGTGTTGATTGATATCATTAAATTATCCAAGGTCAATTTTCCTTTTGATGCTTCAACGACATTCCAAAACTTTCCCAAGACATTGGAAATTTATCAATAATTGACATAACCAAAAACTTTTCAGGAAGTTTCATATTAGCATCAGCGAGGGAATGTTCCAAGTTGATCAATTCATGTGTCTGATCAGAAACAGACTTTCCTCAGCCATCTGATATTTTAGGAACTTAGAAACATAATACATTTCGAGACCTTGCTCTTCAGTATTGAGTGGTAGGAATTTCTCGAACGAACCGCACTCCTTCGTATACGTCAGGAGTCCATTGATGAGAAGGGGCTGGGCGGCGTTAAAAGCGTTTTCCTCAGGAAAATCCCTTTCTACCGGGAACTCAAAAAGTTTTTTGCCAAATCATCTCTGGATTGATCAGAAGATCCTTTCAGTTGGCTAGAATCCCCCCCTTTTCCGATCCAGTTCCTCCACCACCGCGAACCCCGGCCGGTCTTGCTGGAATTGAATCTGAATCCTTTGACGATATTTCTTGTCCAACTCATCCCATAACGACTTTGTAGTGTACGAATCAGAACAATAAACATCAAAGAGCGTATTTGACAAAGCTGACAAAATATCCCCTCGAACAATTTGATCTCTTTCGTTCCACTAAGCAATTTCAGTTGTATTGGGATCATTATCAGTTGGTACAGGCCTAGCCACCTGAATTATCGTCAAAATTCCTTTCATCGTAAGCCAAATTTTAATTCGTTGTTGCCAACGTTTGAAAAATTGCCCCGAAAATTTTTTCGGTAAGCCGGATAAATCGACTTTTGAATTCAACATATCATTAATTGATATGGTGCCAGAACCACTTGCCATAATGATAAATTGAGAAGAAAAAAAGTAGTAAAACAAATACGTATAACACTTTTTGAAAAATTCTCGTCTTAATCACAAAATCTGTTTCTTCAAGATTGTTGGAAAAAATAAATTGTGATAGGTGAATTAAGAACGAGTTTCAATACATATATACGTATTAAGAATTTGAAAAAAAATAGAAACCACAAACATCAACCACAGGAACGTGATATGAAACCAGATTTCTACTAGAATAAATAAGTTTATTATAAAAAAAAATAACTTAACTGACAGTTCTATATATTGTCATAGAACACATATAGCCGAATCACATAAAATCTGTTTGCCTTGAAGAAACAGACGCCCCGATATTGTGCAACGAGTACTACGGCTTTTCTCCCAGGATAAGACAGCTCAAAGTGTGAAGACTGGAGCATCTAACACACTCACCTCGATCAGAAGCTCAGTCGCCAAGAACCCTTAATTTTTCTTTAACTTATAGAGGATGAAAGAGAGTATTTATATAAAGTATTTCTTTCTTTTCTTCTTTCAATTGATGTGTTCTCGTATGTCTCCATTTATCTAAGGATTCACATTAAAAATATTTTCTCTTTTTTACATGTAATTCTTATTACAACAATTAGATCATCTGTTGGATTTGTTCCCAGATACGCAGGCTCGAACACGATTGAATACGAAACCAACATTCAATTCAAATGCAGTTTAGTAAGAATTTGTGTCTTAATCAGTTAATTGAAATATGTAAATATATTTAGGTAAAATAGTAATATAAGAATAATTGAATACCTTTTACATAAATATATTAATTATCAAATATTATATTTTATAATCTGTCTTAAGTAAGGGTAATTTAGTATTTACGCAAGATGTTTTTTTAATTAATTAAGAAATGGGACACACTATCTAGTTTACAATAGAAGCCCTTATAGTAAGATTTAAGATTTTTCATTTTCTTTTTGGAAATTTATGCTAATGATTTATTGTTTTCTTTTCTACTTTTCAAAATATAATACTGTGGATATAAAAGAAACATCACAATTTTTTAAAAATTTTATTTGATTTTTTTGCTTGGAAAAGAGGATAGAAGACTAGTAATGTCAAATTATTTAAGATTTATTTTTATACGAATAGTGATTTGTAAATTAACTGCTCAGATTAAATTTATCTACTGCATATAGTTTTTAGTATTCCTAAAGATAATATGCATATTAATTTAAAAAATTCTTAGAAGTCTTTTAAATTTTAATTGTGTAGAGTTTATTTGTTACATTTGTGATTGTTCTCAAATGATGCACCAGTAAAGCCTTTGTCATTGTTCCCCACTTTTGTTAGGTAAGAGATTATTCTACAATTTTACTAATAGTAGATAAATCCATTATTTTAAAATCCACCACATTTTATTTTTTAATTTACTGCAAGTTGGCTGGTAGAAGATAAAAATATTTATTTTATCTACAACTATCCCTTTTTTTTTTTTTTTTTTATTTACTTCAATTTCGCTGATAGCCGGGGGTGGGGTGATATCGGGACGATCTTAGGAAGACGATTATTATTAAGGTATTATCTTTGAAATCGAACAATTTCCACTCTTACACATCAATTATGTCAATCTCTATGTTAAAATCCTCCCTATATATAATTCCAGAATGCGTTGAGCCTACGTGGCTGCTTCTGGTGCTTCGGAATCTTATTTGGCGAAGAATCGTGCTTCGTAATTAGGTTTGGATGAATAATATTGATATATTAATAATTAATAATCTAGGTTCGGGTATTCCATAAATATTATTTAGCTAACTTAGGTATTTTAATATCACTTTTACTAATATAACCCTTTAATTTTTTGTAATTTTACATAGTGAGACACTAAGTGACTAATATATCCCTGAATTTTGATTTGTTTCCTTCAATAAGCTATTGAATTATAAATGTATTTTAAAAGTTGATAACTTTTGTATTTCTTATCGGTTTTACATATATAAAATATCAAATTAATCATCTTTTGATGATCTTCGATTTGACATCCATATTGTATATGTGAAATAAATAAATTATATTTATCTTTATAATAAAAAAATAATAATATTTATTAAAATTCATTAGAAAAATACAATTATTTATCAGTTGATATATTTATATGTAATGTAGTTATATATATTGTAAGTTAAAAAAAATTAGTATAATATAACACAAGTAAGTCGCACAAATAAAAAGTGTCATAATAAATATATAATAATATATATATTCTTATAAAAGGTATTTAAATTTTCAAACTACTTTTTTCTTATTAATTTTAGATTTAAAAAAAAAAAAAAAAAAAATTAGCAAGCACCCGTATAATATACGGGTGTTGTACTAGTATTAAGTTAAAGTAGCATTATTCATAGTTAGGACGTAGTCGAGGTTGCGGAGATTATGAGCAAGAATACAAGGCTGGCTTGCAAGAGCGTGTTTGGATACAAAAATTTTCACTCAAAGTGATTTTTTTTTTTGGTTAATTTGAATTATTTTGAAAAAAGAAAATATGATTAGTTGGGAGTGAGTTTTTTTATTTATATTAAAATAATATTTTAAAAAACAATTAATGTTGATTTGATGCAAAGGTAAGAGAGAGATTATATGAAGTGATAGTTAATTAAAATTATATGAGTTGATGGATAGTGAATTAAAATTGGAGTGATGTGTAATAATGATTGAGTGATATTATTTAATATTAATATTGTGTTCATGTAGGTTGTTGCACAAGTAACTAGTAACATTTGACACTATTCTATTCTATTTTTTTTTTTTTTTTTGGTTGTTGTGAAATAAACAAAATGTAGAGAGATGCTATGGTCCCGTTACGGAACACATTCCGTCAGAATTTGAGATGTTATGGTCCCGTTACGGAACCATTCCTATACAGTTACATAATGATGTGACGGTTATAAACCCGACAGAATGGTTCCGTAATGGGACCGTAGCATTTTTCCAAAATATAGTATACTAAAATTAATGTCACGGGAGAAAAGGTCTAGTCAACAGGTGTTTATTCCTTTCCCTCAGTTCAGTTTTGGGCAGTTTTTTTGACAATTTTAAACCTTTATTTACCAATGGTAAATGGAAGTTTGAAAATTACACTTACAAGTTCATCCTCCCAAATAAATCCAAAATTCTATCAAAAGTCTGCAGCAATCTAAAATTGTCAAAAAGGGGACATCAGATCTGGATTGGCTAGTTGTTATTCTCGTTTGGCGAGTTGTTTTATTCTCCTGTGGGGAGTATTTATTTTTCTTTTCGTTTGTAGTGTGTGTGGTTGTTTCTAGGCTGCCTTGAGCAGTCCTCCTATTCCGACTTTTGATCCGGTTGTAATTACGTGTTTTTGTTTAATGGATCTATCGTTCTGAAAAAAAAAAAAAAA